GCAGCTAAACTACCAGGCTGGGATTGAATTTGAAATCTTCCTGCCTCATGTCCATGTCCTAGGATTTATAGATGTTAGATGTGTGCCACCATGCCTGGCTTAAGAGAGGCTTTTCTGTTTTGCTTTATGTATTTGTTGTTGTTTTTGAGACAGGGTCTCACTATGTAGCTGAGACTGACCTGGAACTCACTATGTAGCCCTGGTCTGGAACTCAGTGATCCTCCTGCCTCAGCCTCCCTCCTGCCTCAGCGTCCTGAGTGCTGGGATTACAGGCATGTGCCACCATGCCCGGCTTGCTGTTTTATTTTGTTTTTGATAGTGGGGGTTGAACCCAGGACTTAGCACTGAGCTACATATCCAACCCCTTTTTAAAATAATTATTACTTTTTAAATTTTGAATAGGGTCTTGGTGGCTAAACTGCCCAGGCTGGGCTTGAACTTTATTTTATTTATTTATTAACTCTTTTTTTTTTTTATTTTGAGACAGGGTCTTACTTCGTAGTTAAGACTCATCTGGAAATCATTATGTAGCCCAGGCTGGTCTCAAACTCACAGCGATCCTCCTGCCTCAGCCTCCTAGAGTACTGGGATTACAGGCATGCACCACCACACCCGACTGGGAGGTGTTTTTAATAAAAATATTTCTGGCCTTCTGACCCCTCCAAATGACATCCCACAGGCTTGCTGAGAAGAGCAGTAACAGCCAAGGTCACCTCCTAGGTCAGTGATCAAGCTGGGTGGAATTTAAACCCCGTTCTGGTTGGGTGGGGTGTCCATGGAGCTCCACAAAGCAGTGTAGACAGCTATGAGGTGGATGGGGAAAGATAAACTGGTTGGAGAGGAGCTGAGTGCTCAGGAGGGGCAGGAAGTTGGACAGTGGGTTCCATGCAAGGCCTGGGCCTCAACCTCTAGAAGCACAGTGTCCAGGGCAAGCTCACTGTGACCTCGCTCCAGGGTCTGCAAAGGCATCAGGAGCAGAGGCAAATGAGAACCGGGCCTCTGAGAAAGCAGGGCATGCTTGTTCCAGACACGAGCTGTGGGATAGCCTACACCCCAAAACCACGTGCAAACAGTCCCAGCACGGCCTTGGCAGAAGGGCAAGGTTCAGACAGGAGCTTCAGTGGCCTCCTAAGCTGGCACCTCCCCATGTGGCTGGGGGCACCAGGCGTGGCATCCTCCCATGAGTGGCATGAAGCTCACTCAGCGCCTGAGGCTCATGCATGCATGGAGTCAGCAGGCAGCCGCAGCTGGGGCCTTGGCTCCTGCCTTGTTCTGGGGAAAGCTCACCCCTTAGTGAGGGATGCCACAGACACATACCGCAGGGAAACTGAGGCATGGGGAAAGGGACCCAAGCAGGGCACCCTGGATCCTGATCACATCCTGAATGTGCATGGCTCCCAATAACAGCAACATCATCTCTTTATTCCTCAGCGGCTCCTTAGGACACAGTCACTCCAGCTCCCCGGCTGAAAGTGATGTTTTACTGGCACTATGTGCCACAGGCAGATCAGGGGCCACAGAGACATCCTGAGCTCCTCTTGATGGGAGGAGACAGCAACATGGCCAATCAGCAACCCTACGGATAGATGCTACTAAGAAATGAGCATGGGGCTGGGAAGATGGGACAATCAAGAGGAATGGAGGCTGGGGGGGGTTTTATTTTGTTACTTTTTTTCCTTTTTGTCTTTTTTAGTGGTACTGAGGATTTAACCCAGGGCTTTCACATTGACCTACATTCCCAACCCTTTTTATTCTTTGTTTTGAGACAGGGTCTCACCATGTTGCTAAATTGCTCAGGCTGGGCTTGAACTTTCCATCCTCCTGCCTCTGCCTCCCAGACTGCTGGGATTACAGGCCTGCGCCACCAGACCTGGCTGGGAGTTGCAATTTTAAACAGAGTGACAGGAAGGCCCCACTGAGGTGATACTGAAGCCAGTATTAAGGGGAAAGGGTGAGTACCCTGACTTCTGGGGCAGAGAACAGCTGGGGCCCATGGGTGGGCATGTCCTGGTGTGTTCAAGGAAGAGGGTGGCTTCTGGGCTTGCCAGATAGTCACGAATTCACCCCCTGGTTCATTCACCTTTTCAATAAACATTTCTGGAAGACCCATCTCAGCCAGGCATTGAGTCCGGGCTCCCACCCTCAGGAGCTCATCATACTGGCTGGGGAAGGAGGATAAAAGGACCCGAAAAGAGAACTGCAGCCTGGCAGAAGGGCTCAGCGCCCTTAGCCAACCTGGAAGTGGGGAGTTCTAGAGAGAACCATCAGTCACCGCAGCTCTAATTTTGGTGCTTGCTGCTGACCACACTGGCCATACTGACCTTGTTCAATTGTTTTTCTTTCTTTTTTCTTTTCTTTTTTTTTTGGTACCAGGGATCGAACTTGGGACCTTGTGCTTGTGAGACAGGTGGCGGCACCACTGAGCTAAATCCATGGCTCAATTGTTTTTTCTTAACAAAAAAGGAAGCCTTCCAAACATTAAACTTGTTAAATCAAGAGGCTGAGGCAAGAAAATTACTGAAAGTTCAAGGCCAGCCTGGGCTACATAATAAGTTCAAGGCCAGCCTGGGCTACATAATGAGTCCAAGGCCAGTCTGAACTACAGAGCAAGACACTGACTCAAAACAACAGCAACAACAAAATTTGTAAAAGAAATCTTGTAAGTTGCAGATGTATCCAACATGCTTGCCTCAACCTGGGTAGTGTCAGAATAGAAAGAAGATGCCAGGTACAAAGACCCAGAAAGGACACTCTGGAAGGAACCTGGTGTGGCAATTTATAACTCTGGGAAGCAGGGAAGGAGGGCCTGAGGCTGACCATGCCTGCTCTTCCCAGGACTGCTGGCAATCCTGCAGGGCTCAGCTCAGCCCATGAGCATCCCTGCACTCCAAGGTGAGGTGAGAACTGGGATCTGCAGAGCTCTGGCCTAAGCAATGAGAGCTGTTCTCCCAGCACAACAAAAAGGTGCTTCTTCACCAGATGAGTCCTGGGCCCTGCTGAGCCCCAGATGATCTCAGCCATGCTGGGTGAGGCCAGTCCACACTGGGTGGATCTGGATCCCTCTGGGCTGGTGGGTTTGACACCCAAGATAGTCCCCAAGACCACAGAAGTGGAAGCAAGGAGGAAGGAGGAAGGAGGAAGCTGCCCTGGGAGTCCTCAGCAGGTTCCCCAGTAGGCAGAAGAGTCCAGAGTCCTGGTCTGAGGGTGAGGTGGGCATACTCCTCACTGGTCCTTCACCCTAGCTATGCCCAAGGAGGACTGAGTCCCTCAGTCCGCAACCCCAAGGTCTTCCAGGCGTACTCCCAGGCATGTCCCACCAGTTTCTGCAGCAAGGCCTTAACCTGGCTGTCTCCTATTTGGGCTTACAGTCCTTGGATCACCCCCAGCTCTGGTGCTGAGATCCAAACTGGCAAACTTATCAAGGAAGGGTATATTGCCCTGATCTGGACCTCAGCATCTATTCAGACCAAACCTGGCCAAACCAACTCCTTACCCTCAAACCCTCAACCCCAAACTAACTCCAACCCTCCCTAACCCACTCCAAGACTGTCCTTCACTCTGGTCCAGAAAGGATCCTGAGCCTGCTCTACACTACAGTTCAGAAGTGTGATGGTGATGGTGCACACCTGTATCCTAGTACTCTGGGAGGCTGAGGCAGGAAGACCACAAGTTTGAGTCCAGCCTGGGCAACTTACTGACTTAGAGAGACTCTGTCTCAAAATAAAAAATTAAAAAGGTCTGGGGATGTAGCTCAATGTGAACGCCCTGGTTTCAATCCCCAATATCACCACACACACACACACACACACACACACACACACACACGCACGCACGCGCACACACACACACACACACACACACACCACCCCCCAAAAAAGAAGGAAAGAAAGTGGCTTCTGCCTGAGCCTCACCCTCAGCAGCTTTTCTATGGGAAGATCAGGACTGAGCTGAAGAAGCTAGGACCACCCCACCTCCCTCTTTCTTTCTAGTGAGAGCCCAGTCTGCCTCCTCATCTCCTGCAGCCCAGGAGGCTTTTCCTCCATAATTGGCTTGTTTACTGCAGGCAGGGCTTCTGGGTGGCAGAGGTGGGAGGAAAGTTTGGATTGAAGGAAGGGAAGGGTGCATGCTGCAGCTTTGAGGCTGCAGATGGAGCAAACCCTCCAAGCACCTCTAAGCACCTGAGAACTGGCCAAGAACACACGTGAGAAGAGAGCACAAGGTGGCGTGAGGCCAGCACAGCTCCCGCAGACCACAGGAGCAAGCTTATGTCTGGCGCCTGGGAAAGACAGAACAATAACCGAACTTAATCTGCTTGCTTCTGCTGAATAGCGGAATGCATTATTTGGCATTGTTCAGAGCCGGAGGCAGAGGAGACCTCCCCGTTTTGCTTCTGTAGGCTCAGCACTCCTGTGACATCACTCCCCAACTCGAAAACCTTTCAGGGTTCTAAAGCTGGAATAAACTTACTGTCCACCCACAGCCCAGACACTCTAGCCTCTCCCCAACAAACCACTGGTCAGCGGGGCCAACATGCCAGCTACATCATCTGTCCCACAAGCACATCTGTGGCTTCTCTCCACTCAAGTTGTCTGTGGGTTCCTTCTGCTTTGAATGCCAAACCACTCCATCTTCAATGCCCCCTCCCAGTGAAAGTTTCCACCACTGCCCAGCCCCTTCCCAGGCTATCCTGCCTCTCCATCTGGAGATGGCCTCTTTTTGGGCACTGGCCTTGCTCTGTCCTGCTCCCTGAGATCTTGCTCTGTCCCGGCAAATGGGCAAGTGTGTCTTTTCCCACTTTGATTCACCCAGAGCACAAAGCACAGTACCTTGCAGTCAGCAAACACTTAGAAACTGTGCCTAGTACCATTCACCTCAGAGGTGAAGGAAGTGATGGGCAAAGGGTCAGCACAACACAAACGCTAAAATCTGCAGACACAAAACACACAGGAGAATGACAGGCACCACACAGACATGTAAATCGCAAGCAACACATCCCTTACCCTTCTTGAACTCTTCCAGCATGGCGTCCAGCTTGGTATCGTGGAAGACAAAGTGCACTGGGTGGTTGTAGAATCGGGTGATGGTCTTGAGGGGGGTGCAGTCATCAGGGTCCACGAAGGCCAAGTCCTTGACGTACAGAATATCCACAATGTTGGATCGCTCACCTTCGAACACAGGAATGCGTGTGTAGCCACTCTCCATGATCTCCGACATGGTGTTAAAGTCCAGGATGGCATCATTGCGGATCATGAAGCAGTCGTGAAGCTGGGTCATGATATCCTCCACCGTTTTGGTCCTTAGTTCCAGGGCCCCCTGGATCATATTCAGCTCCTCTTTCACCAGGTCATTATAGGGCTCTGTCACCTTCAACATCTCCATCAGCTTTTCCCGATTGTAAACAGTGCGGATCTCCTGACCCAGGACAAAATCCAGGAGCACGCTAATGGGGAAACTGAGGGGGAAAGTGAGCAGCATGAAGAATTTGGTGAGGACAATGGTGTTGGCACCCACAGCCAGCCCGTGTCGGGAGCACAGCGCCTGAGGTAAGATCTCCCCAAAAATGACAATGCCAATGGTGGAAGAGGCCACCGCCATGAGGCCAGACCCGATGAGGTTGTCCAGGAGGATGGTGAGGGAGGTGTTGACCAGCACGTTCCCCAGCAGCAGTGAGCAGAGTAGGTAGTTGCCCTTCCGCCTGATGGGCTCAATCTTGCGGGCATACTTTCTCTCTTTCTCAGTGCCACAGTTCTGCACGATGCGCAGCTCCATGGGGTCCAGGGCCATGAGACCCAGGTTGAGGCCGGAGAATATGCCTGAAAACACCAGCAGCACCAAGACCAGAAGGATGTGCAGCCAGAGGGGCAGGATCCTCCCCTGCTCCTCCATCATGACCAGCAGCGAGTCCTTGTCGGTCCACCTGACCCAGGGCCCATCAGTCCGCGCCCGGGTGCACAATGCATACAGCTTCATGTTTTCGCTCCTCCGCAGGAACTTGGTGAGCACCACGAGCATCCCAGACGTGTTCCCGCGACTCACATTGACCAGCTGCTGAACGACCAGGTCCTTGGTGAGCTCTGGACAGGTGGTGGAGTTATGGGAGGTCTCGGTGTCGTCCACCTCGGTGAAGGAGATCAGGTTGCTGGAGATGTCGCCCAGGCTCTGGCCATACAGTCTCAGGTTCACTGTGCTGCCCTCAGACACGAAGATGATGCCATCCGGGTTCATCCCACACGACTTGTTGCAGCTCGCCAGCCTCATGCCCAGGATCGCGCCCCGCTGGGGGCTGCCCTGGCCCTGGGCCCCCCGCGCCCACAGGAGCACCAGTGCCGCCAGGAGGAGGC